AAGAGGATGGGGGAAAAGATGCTGAGAGCTATAAAAAAAGCTGTCAAGTGTATCATCGTGCTGTAGCGCTCTTCTTGTTAAAGATGCAAGAGCACTTGCAGCTGTTAAATACTGAGAAGGAGAAACAGCTTAACATCCAAGTGTAGCCCTCAGACGGGGTCTTAAAGAGCAACGAGGTTTTTAAAAAGCTGATGAAAACCTGAAGGACACCAAAACTAGACACGATACTAAGAAAAAACACCCAACAAATACGATTCTAAAACGTATCAAAAGATACATAAAACCCTATGTATAAAAGCCTTCCTCAGAGGCCCTGAAGTAAGAGATGCTGCTTACTCACGTACACGACATTTGTACCCAATTCAATAAACTAATGTTGTGACTGCCGCACTCTGCACTCAAATGCAATAGAAAACCAAGGTCTTGACCAGCTGCAGTCTTGAAAGATATCAGGGCTCTCAGGAAGAGCAGACGTTACTCTGTGTTCAGGGTGACTCCATCCTGGCTATTTCTCTTTGCTTCCAATTTTCATGGGCAAGCGTACGCTGATTCACTCCGAGCCCTGCACAGTACGGCACAGGAAAGAGGTTTATTCCAGAAGATGCTGCAGTGACAGACTCAATATAAGTGAAAGGACTTCAGGATGTAATAAAAATAAATGACGGGACTTCAGGATGTTAAAACATTTTCTATCCCAAGGTCATCCATACAAAACCTATTATGGATTCTGTAATAATAGAAGCAGTCGCTTCATTGAAATTAATTTATTTTGAGAATATCCCCTTTAATCCTCCATGCATTTTTTAGCACAAAAAGTTGGATTTTATCACAACCTCCTTCATAAAACTTAATATTGTATGTCTGGTAATGTGGCTGTTTCAACAGTTCCTCATTGGAAATCCCACACCTGCGAAACCTTGGCAACACTGTCAGTAAGTGACCTACACAACGTTTAATAGAAAAATTTTACTGAATATCCTCTGTTTAATGTAAACAAGGCAGGAGGCAAAACAATGAGTATGTATTTTATATAGTTGCACTATTTTACAGGGCACAGAAAGTATTGAGGATCACGGTTTGAAAACCCTGTATGATATGCAATATCAGATATGGATTTTCCATGTAGCCCCAAGTCTACTACATAATCCTTCGATTTTACTTAGCACTTCACTTCAGTATTCCCTTTAGCAAGACAAATAGCAATAATAAAATGTCATCTGTGAAATTACACAGCAGGTTATAGTAGAAATTACCATGCATTTACAAAGCCATTCCACGATTACTTGTGCCCTGTAAAATCAAGTGCGACAATCTTTACACTAATAGTAGTGTAAGCAAGCTCGGGATTCTGGTCCTTATATATATATATATATATATGTATATATATACATAGGTGATGTACAACCAGACTCAAGCTGTGTATCAAATCACAGCTTTTATATTGCACAGACAAATACATAGTAAGAACATTACACAGACAGGATCTGAATACCAGGAATATTACAGTCATATGAGAAACTAAGGACAAACTCGTTCTACCAGAGCTAGCACATGGCTTATTACAAAATTTTCTATATCGGAGTCTAAATCAAATACATATTATAAATGGAAAAGAAGTAAAAAATGTGTCTATTTACACACATGTGCATCAGGGTTAAAATGTGGTTTGGATCTGCTTTTTGAGATCAAAATTTTTTCTAGTATTACCTCTCAAGTATTTCAATCTAATACTATAGGCCGTATTTTCTAACGTGATAAGCACTTGCATTTCCCACTGACATCTGGAGGATCTGCATATGCTGTGAACTTCAGGCCGTATATTTTCTCAGGTGTCCATCTCTGGGTAATAAATAACCACATACAAACACACGCACACAGAAACAAAATGGGCACCGCAATGACATGCATAGATTGGAAAGGTGAAAACATGGACCTGAACTAACTTCTAACCTTTTTTTTTTTTAATAAAAAAAAGTGCATGGAAAATATCACCACAAAAAATAATTAAATGAGTTCCATCTCTTAAGGAAGATTAAATCACTTTTACAAAAATAAAGGTCATTGTCATCATGTATAGTAACTAAGGTTTGTAGGCAGCACTCACAAAAACAGTTTAGGCTAAAGCAACTTTACGGATTGCTTCACTTCTGTCAGGGTGGATCCATGTCTTGTAAGTTTATCAACTAAGTAACATTTGGTTTGCAAGAACATCACCCATGTTGCTGGAGACTGAACAATTATATCCTGAATTTAAGAGTTTTAAATTTAATAGTTACATCTACTTATTTTTCTCATGGACAAGCACGAAGGAATTGTGTTTGCAGCTCGGTAGACTGTTTTGCATTAAAATGCCACAGAGGTTGCAGCAGTCCTTCCAGAAGCTGACTGATACAATTCCTTACACTGTAATGAGCGCAGGTATCGGTGAAAACAACAACAACAAGAAGAACAGCAATAACAAAAGAGGTGATGTTAATGCTTTCATTTGAGATTACGCATCTCTTGAATGGCTTTATAAATCGTTATATTACTTGGAATGCTCTTGCAAGTTTTGTTTAACATTTCTCTCACTTTCATTTCTAGTAGTATTATCACTTCCAGTTTCCACTGAAATTGGGACATGCGAAATATTCTGGAATATACACTTAAAAAAATAAATAATGAAAATAGAAAATTTGAGGAAAAAGTAATTAAGTTCAAGCAAAACCAACGAAGACCCAAATTCAGTAAAGCATCAGCATTTGTGCTCAACAGCTTAACTTTGTTCACATAAGAGATTGTGATTTAGGAATAAAATTCTTGAAATTAAGCTTATGTTTAACTGCTTTGCTGTACTGGGTCCTTATTTATAACAAATGCGTGTATTAAACATCACTCTGCATAGACAATTACATGTTCTAAACTATGTGTCTGCTATGTTACATTAACGAAGCTTCTAATGTGGACTGACTGCAATACAATACATATCACTAAAAATTATTTGCTACTTTCAAGGTATGTTTCTAAAGAACAAAAATGAAAGAAGTGTCATTTTTTTAAACTTCATCCTACTATGCTACTTTGACCTGAAAATACTTTGTGGCTAAATTCAGCAAAAAGAAAGGAGGTGAGGAAGTGAAACATGCTTTTGTTTGCCAGATAAATGCAAAAAAGTACAAAAGTACAAAAGTACTTTTTTGTACAAAAGCCTCCCAGTACAGGCAGCCACTGAATACAAGTTTTACCTGCCAAAATGCTTCCCCAGTTCCAGAACTGCTCTCTCCAGCTGAACCTGTACTGGAAGCTTTTACAGCAGGACTCTCTTCACTGCTGTGACAAGAATAAATTTAGCCCATTAACTGTGACACTGTTCTAATTAACCTGCTAACTTAAAAGGCTTTTCAACATCCAGGTTCCATAAACATTTAAAAAAAAAGACCTCAAAAGGCATGGATTCAGAGCAGAATCTGATTCTAGATACAGTCATGTAAATCCAGAAAAATCCTAGTGACGGAGTACATTAGTCCATATTTGTGTATGAGCAACCACATCTAAAATGGGCATTAGCTGTGCAAACAGGATAGTAGGAAAGACAAACAAAGAAATACAATGTAAACACAAGGAGCTAAACCCTACCTTGCCTGCCTATGCTATTAGGTTCATAGGAGGGGAAAGAGGTACTACACACCTGTGCAGAGAGCAGGACAGGTCTCTCACCCAAGTCACTCAGTGGGACTTGAAGGTTAAAGCATGGCCACCCGAACCTGCCGGTGCGTATGTGGCAGTGAGCAGCGAGAACTGTCTGAGGCGCAGGCTGCCATCACGCTAGAGAACTGGAAGCAAAGCATGCTGAAGTCTGGAGGGCCCTGCACTTGCAATGCAAATGCCTGCCCTGACTGATAGCATCCATATTGAAAAAGATTCATTTTTGCATCCCAGCACTATGAAAAGCAGGTGTAAATTTTGGTCCTATATATGGTATCAATGCTTTAACTGAATTGGCATCAGACAATCTTTTGCTGGGTGCTACTGCTAAGGTTAGATAAGCAATAAAAACACTTCTAAAAATGACAGAATGTTTATGCTGCCAATTTTCAAGGCACAAAAGAGTCTTAAACCAATTCAGGCTAAATACCAATTTAAAAGAAATTAAAAATACTGTTTCAACAACAACTACCGATGACCTATAATTAACTTCCCTGTAAAGGTGACACGAGGCAAGCAACTGGGGTTCACATGCAAAAACCTAAAGCAAATCTAGTTACACAGATAACCTGAAGAGCAATCACTCGGAATGACAGAGACAAACATGCTAAAAACATGTACACTTCAGATATATTTGTTATGGATGTGATGCTGAATCAGGATTAATTCCATTAGTATTGATTTTATACTGATATATCTCTTGGAGTAATCCATTGGGGAATCAAGCTCAGAGTTGTCTTTAAGATTCACCAAAACAAAAATGATCCTGCATTAATATATCCCACTGTATATGGACTGGTGGATTTTTTTAACCTCTCTTCATTTTTAATAATATACATTGCAACTATAGTTGTGATTTCCTTTCACATATCCAACTGAAAAGAAAAATTAAGACATAAAAATGTTATAAAATTAATTTGCTTTTTAAAAATAATATGGTCACAAAAAGCGAACTGGTGCATGTGAGCCCCAGAACATACAAAAGACCCAACTCTCTAAACGTTGTCATTATAACACAATAACCAAGGTCTGATGTCTGTGGTTCTTCATGCAGCTTTTGCAGCTCTTCACACAGTGGCTAGAAACACTAGGTATTGGTTTCACCCAAAATGCCTTCAGTCATGTTCTAGGTCCATTTGAATCCCTCTCTCTTGCCATGTCAACATCTGGTGAAAGTAACTTGTCTTCCAATTCTGCCAAATGTCAACTGACACTTTTCCAGGAGGCACCACCTCTTCTTATCCAGGTGTTGTCAATAGTCTTTTCGACTGAAACGGGCTAGGTGGTTTTACAGCCTGGCTACTCATCAAGGCTGCTTATGGTGTAGATGAGGCATGATACTTCACAAATGCAATTGCTGCCAGCTCTTTGCAGAATTCTTCCAGCACAATCACGCCCTCTAGTAACGTCATATGGTCAATGCTGAGAAAGAGAAAAAAAACAGCAGAGAATCAGGACTGGCACACACAAAAACCAGCCGTGGGTCTTGAAGAATAGGCAATGTATTTACTCACATGGGCCCTTCTGGCTCCAAGCCCAGCAGGCGTTTTCTGACAAGCAGAAGTTTGGGAGTGAAATCTGGGATGCGCTGGATTCTAACCATGAGGTCCCCAACGACCTGTAAAGCACAATCCCATCAGCACACAAAATTAACACCTTGGCAGCAAGGTTAAATGACAGCCTTCAGTGCCCAGGACGCAGACCCACTTCAGCATCCTCACAGGCTCACCAAACAACACGCAGAGTACCTGCTCTGCCCACAAAAAGCATGAGTGGGTGCAGAAAGTAAAGAGATACAAAAGGACAGGAACTCTTGAGCCTTACTTGCTGTTGCCACAAATGGCATTACTTAATTATGTCAATGATTAATTTGTCTTAGTAAATGTCGATGCAGGCAATTGACCAGTAAATTCCTGGGTTTAGGGAAAGCACAAGGGGAGAGAGTGAAGATTATATTTGAAATGGGCAGGGCTGCTGGGAAAAAGGGAGCTAAGCCCTCTGTTAGCATGGGCAAGCACCATTAATAGGCTCCTGACCAGCCTAATAACAGCTGCTGCGTGGGGTAGGCGAGGGATCTCCGACTGAGAAGACTGCAGTGTGACAGGCACCCAGCCAGCACTTCTAGGATGCAGGTTTGGCAGGAGGAGATGGAATCAGAGACGGAAAGGAAGGGGACTTTTGAAAAATCCAGGACTTCATTATCAAGAACGGCCTTCATCAGAAAAAAAAGAGGATGAGCAGAAATATACATCCAGGCACAGGGTACTCAGGAGTGTCCTTTGCTTGTGTGTGAATCAAAGCCATCTCTTTCCCATCCAGGTGCAAACCTGTACTTGGCCTGTTCTCACAGCACTACCTGACCTTGCCTGCAAGTGACAACGATGTGACCTAGTCCCGTTTAAAGCAACACCATTGCCAGAGGGGATGTTTTGATCTATACAATGAAACTAAGCAAACAAACAATTTTGAAGACATGAGGACACAGAAACACGTTTTCCAGTGTTGTTGGTAGAAAATCCAAAATCTTGATTCAAATCAAGAGCATAAGTATCTACTTTCAGTGAGAAACCATTTGCCAACTTAAACTAGCCAGCAACTACTACCAGTAACTACAAAGTTACTAAATGTATCACTGCTGTATAGCCATATGTAAATATTAACTGTGTGTTTACTCACCCTGACAATAACAGAGAAGAGAGACCTGCAGCCAGAAGCTAGGTTTACATAAGGATCCAAAAGGTATTCGTGTATATGAGGATGGGGAAACAAGGACAGTTTGGACAACACTGACGTAACTTGTAAATTCACATCATAAGGCTGCAAAAAAAAGGAAAACACAGTGCTTAGTTATTTTCATGCTGGCTTCTTTCATCCAGACAGTGTTTATTTAACTACTAGAACCTTATATATAGGGTTCTGAATATATAAAAAATTAGATTAGAAGACAGGCCCAAAACTTCTGCTTTCCAAAACAGGAGTGATGCGAATATGGCAGTTAGGTATTAGATGTTATCTGTAGAACTGCTACAACCACTTGAAGCTTTTGCACACTTGTTTATTGTAGGATAAGTCCTCTTCCTGTAAAACATTTCTTAGCACAGTAGCTAAACAAATAGCATAGAATCAGCCTAGATTAAACATCTGCTTGCTTCTGTGAAGTAAAATGAGCTCAGGAAACAGAGAGAGACAAATCCATGTTTATGGCTAATAGGGTATTTCTCTTCTTCTACTTTGTTTTTTGCTTGGAAAGAACCACTGCAGAAGGCCTGGTCATCTTGTGGCAGCATGCTACGGGAGATGAGACCATCCTGGGCTGGGAAAGCAGCATGAAATTCTGAGCTGCTTCTCTACCTCCTTTCCCCAAATCAACTAAATGGGAGAGGCAATACTGTCAGATGCTGGAAGATGCTAATCGGTCATAAGGAAAAAAATAGCACCTAACTTTCTAGGAAAAAAATAGTGCCTAGCTTAAAGGATTTTACCATTCCAGTGAGAAACTCATTTCCATAAAATAGAAGCTTCTTTATGTCCCAAGTACTTTTTTTTTTCCATCGTTGATTTTCTTATCACAGTGAAAACAAGCTGACATTTTAATTCAGGCCCAAATTTGCAAACGAGTAGAATATCCTTCCATCTATTCAGTGGTGGAACACACTGTGTTGACAAGAGATGGACAGACGTTCCCTTGGTACACCCCTATGCCAGCCTGAAGATGTTACCAGCACCCAGATGGTTTAACTTAACCTTGCTGATTTTACCTGAAGTGGATTACAGGGCCCTCATTCAATCTCTTTGACTGCATATTGGCAGTAACATCCTCAGTGGCATAATCACATCTAAAAGAGGATGATTTTATGGCCTCAAATTACCATCTTTACGCTCTCTAGTTAGCATCCCACTGAAGAATCAGAGAACAGATTCTTCCCTTTTCCAGACTGTAAGATTTGGAAGAATTCAGCTTCAGATTAAGATAGATATATTTAGATATGTCTACATGTGTAAGCTCGCATTAGCCTACTCAACAGAGACCTGACACTTGATACACTTGCCTACACACAAACATCTCGTGCCACCTCAGATGCTCAAGAGTATCTGCTGGTCTCTTGATGGTTCCACAGAAGGTGGATCCTGCAAGATCCGTGTTGTAACCGCAAGCTTGTGGGAATATCTTGGGCATCACAAAAACAGCAACAGATACCTCAGTTCAGGCAACTGAGTTGAGTTGACTGAAAGGTCAATCCAGTCAAGGAAGCTGAGATGGTGATTCACTTTGCACTAGAAGAGACACCTACTTGCTTTTCAGTCTAACAGCTCCAGAGACTACTGGGGCTGTTCTGACAAAATTTCCACTGACTAGATGTGGACACCCAACTAATATTTAGGTACCTTATTCCTGAATTCATTACCACACACTGTTGCATTGCAAAGGGAGTTGTCTTATAGGTCTTTTGAAGTGAAAGCACATACTTCTCCCAGTCAGTAGCAGTTATTTCTGTACTTGATATTCCAGCAATAGATTCATCCCAATCTTCTAACAAATGAAGCTTTCAGCCCCTGGACCAGAGATGTTATAGGTAAAAGAGATGTTATAGGTAAAAGAGATAACATTTTGAGTTATTGTGGAACAGTTACTCTGCAGACAGAGACACAAATTCCTTCCATAAATCCATTCCACTGTCTACCTAGCCGAACTGTAGGAGAAGGTCTTTAGAGTTGTCTGAGTCAGTCAATTCATTAGGAAGCTTTGAAGCCATGAGCATTATCTGGTGTTCACAAGAAGAGAAGGAAACAAAGTAGTAACACATGCTGAATTGTTCAGACAGATTGCTGTTGTGATTTGAACTAATTGAGAGCATTAAGGAAAGCTGCTTTTTCACACAGAGCTTTTATTTCTGTCCATATGTCAGCAGACTCAGTAAGACAGCCTTATATCAGATAACATCCTAAAAAAATTCTCTATAACTAAAAAGGTTAAAACCAGCAAAATTTGCAGTTCAGGAAATTTTTTACAAAATTCTTAGGAAGCAGACATTTCCACAGAAATGTATAATATTAACAGGAGGAAGGAGATACTGTCTAGCAGATGAGGTACTGGATTTGAACAGCCTTGAAACAAGTACTTCACTTGTGTGCCTCAGCTGTCTTCTGTCAGAAACTAGGTTAATGATACCTACCACCTCTGCAAAGTTTTCTGCTATCTACTGATAAAAACTGATAAAAACACAAGAACTACCTATAATATTGTGACAAAGCAAAAAAGACATAGAACACAATCTGTAAGTAGTACTGTGTCCCCACTAAAGGCTTTTCAACATTTTTCACTTTATCTGGACATTAGCACCCATTATGTCAAATTTGTCATTGACAGGACCCAGGTTTTGTTGTTTTGGGTTTTGTTTATTTTTCTATATGTGATTTATGTGTTTCACTGTGAATAATCCCTAGGAATTCCAGTTTGTTTTTTAGGACTGGGTTTTGGTGTGATATGATAAGAATTTACCCCTTCTGTCTGATTCAGGCAGTTCATTTTAATTCTTCTGGAGTCAAGAACCATTTTTGACACCACAGATCGTAACACCTTACTTGACTAACCCAAATGTGTGTCATGCTGACAGGTAGTATATCAAAATGGGCACTGTGCTTCCATGCTACTTTTGTTGTAAGCGTACGTATCTGACACTCAGGTGTTTCTTGGGGGATGTAACTTGGGTTCTTTACTTTTTGTAATTTATGTGTCATTGCTCAGACAAGGTTTTCATATGCATGAGGCTTGTTCTTCCTAAGAGCTGATGATGCCCAGTTTTCTTCATGACTCTAATCTACAACCATTTCAGCTAGTGAAGTGTGCAGAACATGTTTACTGGAAGCAAAACCCTGAGAATACACAATATAGCAATAGAAGTATTTGGTTTTCTTTTCTGAATTCTGAATTATAACAGTTGGTACTCTCAAACATCCTTCTCCCCTGAACACTCACAGAGCTGACCTAGAAGCTACTACTGGCTTCCTGACACGTTTCCTATGCATTTATATGTTCAAGTGGCTCTTGTCCTGCTTATGACCAGGAAATCTGGCACTACCACAGCTAATTGTTTATTCTGTAGATAGCTCCACATGCAAAACAGAAAAGAATTGTTCAAACTTCTGAAACTGGTACTACTGCATCTGTACCAACTCCAGCTGGTATTACAGGGAGGGTAATCTAGACCTTCAGGGCTCGTTTTCACTGGCAAGAAAAGTTATCTTCTTGATCTAAAGCAGCAACATCGACATGACTAACTTAAGTCCAGAGTTTAGAGAAGGCAAAGAAACATTAAGTTTTCACACAGGGCAACCTCCTTTTCACCTCCCTGACCCTTCACTTTGCTTCTCCCCAGAAAGACTAGGTCATGCAGGCTGGCTAAATACAGAAACAAACGCACATCAGGAAAATTCACTTTCTTTAAATTCCTTTGTGCTAATCTGGGTCTGACATGTCACACCTCCTTTTCAGAACAAGGAGCCAGTCAGATCATATCTCATGTGTTTCCCCTTGGCAGCTATACTTTTATTATTTGAAGATAATCAAACAGGAAAAAAACCCCTACATTGCAGATGGAAAAGGATACCTTCTAGAAACTTTCCATGCACTGATAACAGTTTTTTCTAACTGTGCAAAAATACGGGAAATGTTAGCAGTGATACAGTAAGTTCTTTTCATCTTACACAGTGACGTAAACTGCTTCCAGAACACGACTTCAGATTGAAGTTCACTGAAATGTGGCAGAAAGGAGCCGTACAGTATTTTATTTACTGAAAAACGTACATGCTTTCTAAGTGTATATGCTAGAAAATGGGAACAGAATCAGTGATACTAGGACTGAAGGATTCCTAAGATACTATCTTACCCTCTCCTTTTACTTAAGGGATATTCTTGTCTTACTCATTAATTTAAATTGTATTTCTGGTCAAGAAAACATTTGGTACACAAAAAAAGTGGGTAACAATGATAAGAGAGTTTTTGTTCATAGAATCATAGAATGCTTTGGGATGGAAGGGACCTTTAAAGGTCATCTAGTCCACCCCCCCTGCAACTGGCAGGGACATCTACAACTAGATCAGGTTGTTCTCTACTTTTGTTGAGAATGCTGATCACTATAACATCCTGCAATCTAGAGAGACGTGCATCAAGGCCATGGGACATTACGCAATAATATGATGCTCTAATAGACATCTGGGTGACGGGAATCCATGGGACCTTGGAGACGAGCCCTTTTGTAGTGATGAAAGTATCAGAAATGGAATTCATAACCTGCTTTTCCTTACCTGATCAAGAATCCTGCCCATTCTTTCAAACAGGACTTTCAAGAAGTGTCCTTCAAAAAATGCTGCTTCTAAATTGCACTTTTCCAAAGATCTGGGAGATCCAGGCCACTCCCACCGTAAGCAGATGACACAATAATCCCGGAACTAGAAAAAAGTAGTGAGGAAAACAGATTCAAACCTCCATGGAAACCATTTCTTTCCTTTTAACAGTCCATATGCCTTAAAACTATAATCTGTAGCTACATGAAAAATCTAAGTCCCAAAAGAACAGCCATTCTATAATAAATATGATCAGTTTCTATGCAGGCACCTCATTTTCTTCTAGACATTCATGCTATTAGGGTAGTTTCAAAAACACAATGGGTAGAGAACAGAGCTCCCAAAAAGCAGCTGAGGCCCAACACAAAGCAAAGCCAACAATACACATCCTGATCAGGGTTGTTCTAAAGCAGGACCTGCATTCATATACATTCTTGTTGTCAGTACGTTACCACACTTTCACTGTATTATGTGTAGCTTATCTTGCTGTCCAATCTATAGTGCTCCCTAATTCCTGGGACAGGAAAGGCACATATATATGCAGGAGATACAAATGAAAAAAGTACTTCAGGGCTTCCTCTTCCCTCTCTTTGTTTCCCATCACCCCTAACAGTCTTTCTCAACCTCTACCTCTGCCTCTGATTTGCTGTGGGCTGCCTGATGTCTCACTTTCAAGGAATTACACCTTGAAAGGAGCACAGGTTATAGCAGTGAAAATAAGGAACACAGGAATAAACAGTGGCAATAGAGAGACAAAACAGACTCAGAAATTCTTCACTGCATGTAGCTTACCTACTTGTGCAGGCTTCCAGGAATAGAAATATGGAAGCAGAACAGCTATTAGGATGTAATAACAGCAACAGGCAGGGCTATTCTTAGGGGGGAAATATTTTAAGAGTAGCCATATCATTGTCAGGAAGTGACAGAAACCAATTCTGTTCTCTAATAACTCCCAGAATACTCTTTTTCCCAAGGCATGAAAGAAATACAAAGATGATATGTGTTTTCTGGCATCCAAGAATAGAACATAGAGGAATTTTACATCAACCTTTGTTTCTTTATTCTCTATTTTCTATTCCCTTTCTTTTCAGGAGAGACTACAGATAGAACAATATAATAAAGAAATCCAAGCTTCCCATCTTAATCTGCTGATATCATAATTCAGAGCTTATGGAATTTTTGAAGTACCTACTAAATATAGCTCTCGCAGTTACTCTACTCCTTTGCATATGTTTTTCTATTCTAGAAGATTCACAGGACTTCAATAAGAAAGCTGCAAATAAACAGTGATTGTCCTCTGACCAAGGGAACTTTAGATTATGTTTGTAAAAACAAAACCTGCATTTATTTCAAAACAGTAAATCATAAAGCTTTCCCTA